ATCCCGTCAAAGTCAAGGGTGCCGACACCCCTGACCGCCTCCCTTTCAGCTGGAGGAACGGCCTTGATCATAGACTTGGCCACCTCGACCAAGTCAGGCTCCTAAGGGCCGGCTGCATCAAGCATAAACAAACGGGTTAGACCTAGTAAAGAAGGGAGCAAGTCTAAAATTTACAAGGATAATTTCATACTTCTAGGTGGCCCAGCTAGAGTTTTAGAAGAAGTGGCCGGTTGTTTCTCAGCCGCCACATGTTTCCTGGCAGAACCAGGAGAGCTCGCAACAGTCGTCCTCCGGGCCTTGGGGTCCGGCTGTTGGGAAGAAGAAGCTCTAGGAGCGTCCGTCTAAAAAAGAAGAAAAGAGTCAGTATATGCATAAACACAACTCCAAAAAGAGGATGAAAGGTTCGAAGCCTACCAAGGGTGCCCCCTTGTTGGGGGAGTCGGTTGAAGACTGTTGCATGATGGAGGCCCGCAACATGGCCGCCGGAGTCTTGGAGGCGGTAATTTTGCTCATGGCGTCCGCTGCAAAAACAAATAGCAAAGTTAATAAAAGTCGTAACAAGAAATGCATGGAACAACAGAGTATTCGACAGGCCGGCTACCTCTTGAGCACCGACTGCTGAGGCCACAGGCGGCCAAAAAGTACTCGTCGTAGAGCCATTTGAAGCTCGGGACGCAGTGCAGGGGTACTTGCTCTCGTACCCCTGAAGTAGAGTTCACCTTCGACTCTACTTTGAAGAGTCCTTTATCTAGGATCTCTTTCTTAGCCTTGGGGGGAACAGGCGGCATGCTGCGGCCGCCTTCAAGAAGGGGCGGATTCCTGTTCCACCTGTTGAAGCGCTTGTTCAGCTCTATGTCTGAACTCTCAATGATAAGGAAGGTGCTCCGCCAGTCCTTCCATTTGTTTGCTTTACCTCTCGTCATGAGGTAGCCCCTGTGGCTCGTCAATTGATACCAGCCGGTACCGCCTGCCTTAGGGGTCCGGCTGAGGTAGTTCATGTGGGCGAAAGCCTCGAAGTTCGGCTCCACCCCGTGCAGTTCGCACCCGGCCACATAGCCGAGTACGTTGACCCAGGAGTTCGGGGCTAACTGCCATAACCCCAACTCATACCTATCCAAGATCCGCTGAACAGCCGGATGTAGTGGGAAGCGCAGCCCAGCCTTGATGGCCGTCTCGTAGCAGCCAAAGCAGGCGCCATCATAACTGGTACCAGCCGGCCAGACGACTGTGTCTTCTGGATCCGGCACGAACACTAAAAAGCCGGGGCCCATTGTGTGGTTTGCGATAAAGCTCTCCACTTTCTCTTGCATGGCTGTGATCCGGCCCCGAGGTACCGTGCAGTAGTAGGGGTATTTTGCTCTCGGTGAGAGGCGGATGGCTCCGCCCAATCGTCCCCCTTCTCAACTGCGTGAGAAAGCCTCGCCTCTTGCAGGCGACTGTTTTTCTCTTCTGTGTCCAGAGAAGCATGGCCAGAAGAGCTAGACTCGGAATCGTCCTCTGACGAGTCCGAAGAGGACGACTCCTCCCTCTTCAGGAGGGGCCCGCCTCCTCTCCTTTAAAAGGAGCAGGAGAGAATGTAGAATTGTCAACTGTAAAATGGGAAGGGGTCACTTTGACTCCTCCCTCAGAACTGCCGGCTTTCAAGCCGCTTTGTTTCACTTCCACATCTGGCGCCTGGTCAGATGTTTCACTAATCGGCACCCTGTGGGAGGAGCCGTCTGAGTTTGAGATCCTGGCAGTCTTTTTTGTTCTGGCCATCATGCTCTGCATAGACACAGATACAGTCGGACTTTGTATAAAGGGCAAAGATGGGTCCAGAAAAGGGCAAGCGGCACTCCTAGTCCTAGATTCAGCCGTCCCCAGTGACCGGCTGATCACTAACCTAGGTCGTGTCGTGTGCTTCCGTGGTGCCATTTCAAAAAAGAATAAAGTAAAGAGAAAATTAAGAGTAAGAGAACCGACGGTTACCTGAACGAGTGACGATTGATGAAGTTCTAAAAATCCTTTGCAGTCGGCTTGTCAGAGCAGGCGGTAGGCAGAAAGGGTCCAAAATGTCAGAGCAAGTTCAGGGGTCCGAATGTTCTCTCACAAAGTTTTCAAGTGTGAAAATGACTGAAGTCAACACTCCTTTATATAGGCGAAGTGAGAAGGCGAAGGGTCACTTCCAGAATTCAAAATTTTGGCGGGAGAATCTCTCGGCCTCTCGCCGAGTGACACCTGTAGCAGGCCGTCGCCTGTTACAGGGCGATACCTGTCACAGGTAACACGTGATCAGTCACGTGCCACCTGTGAGGGGCAAATGATTAGGGGATTTTTCCCCACCAATCACCATCTGACAAGTGGACCAATCAGGTTCCGCCATGTGTCCGTCACATGGGCCAATAGGAGCCTGCCACGTGTCAAGCAATGATCCGTCCACTATGGACCAATTACGACACGACACGTGTCCTTCCCATGACACCTGGGATAACCGGTCACCTAGGCCCAACTTCCGTGGGAAGCCCAATCAGCCCAAGGTTAACCTAAACCTAGATTGGCACGTTTCCCGAGGTTATAAATACCTCCCTTAATCCTCATTAAGGGAGATTAACGCAGATTACACACATTAAACTCTCTCACCTAGAGAGACCCAATCACTTTAATTTCCGCATTAATTACTCCTTAATCAAGTACTAACTTGACCGTCGGAGGCGGATCTCCAATCATCCGGAGCATCCGTTTGTTTTGCAGGTACAGGCGCCCGGTTCTAGTCTCGGAATTGTAACTCTCCCGCAGGACATCAGAAAACCCCGAAACAATTATAGTCTTCTAGAATCTTCTAGATGGTTCTTTTCATTCCTAATTTAATTAGCATTAATAAATTGACCTTTAGTTGACTTTTAGAGTTTTAATCAGAATAAAAGAAGTGTTTTTGAGGAAAATGCGATTTTGCCCTCTCGTACGGTTAAATTTTATCAAAAAAAGAAAACACGTGGAAAATTATTTCCAACGCCATACGACAGCTCTGTCACCTGGCGACAGACCTGGCGTCTGGCGACAGGCGCGTGTGTGGCGTTGCGGTCGTGTTTTATTCTTTTTGAAACTCTAATTCGTTTTTTATCATATTCGGCTGATTTTCTCTATAAATAGCCTCCTAAAACTTCCGTTTTCCATCATTAATTTTCATCAATTCTTATTCTCTCTAATTCTTCTCACCAACTCTCATCAAGAATCTCTTGATTACTCTCTCTCTCTCTCTCTTTTCTAAACTAGCTTTTCTCACACAAAATTCCTCATTCAAAAGATCTAGAAACACCTAGCCAAGTTCGAAGTTGACTTCGCCCTAGACGTGAAAGGTTTTAATTTCTAAGGGTTTGGTCCCAAATCTCTCTTTCAATTATTTAATTTAATTTAATTGTTTGTTTTTATTTTTCTTGAAGTTACTAACGCGTGTATTTTGTTATTAGAAAGAGGTACGAGACATCCAGGTAAGTGCTTTAGTTAATTTATTGATTTTATGATATAGAAATCATGTCTAGGTTATTATGATTCCTAGTGGCATGTCTAGGGTGTTTTGATCTTCCTAGTATCATGTTTAGGGTAATTTCTAATATTAAATATGACAATTGTGATTCCTGCGATGCTACCTACTCTCTTCCTAATATTCATGTTAGTATCATGTTAGGGTTAAAGCTTTGATTTTTATTGCTTAGTGACATGCTAAGGTTTGTTATAATCTTGTTAGTATCATGCCTAGGATCTTGCTATTATTATGCTTTAACATGATTATCATGATTATGATTATGATTATTTTTATAATGGTTATGATCATTATTATTGTCATGTTGCTTGATTATATATATATTGTTATTGCTTGATCACACCTTTTATGCATATTTAAAGGGAATTGGTACTTGTAATCACGCTTAATAAGATAATTAATAATCTTGTTTAGGGTTAATATGATTATAATTCAAGTGATCGCCAATAATAGATTTATTTGTGCATTAATATTCAACCAACATAGATTAAACAGGTTTAGGGTAAACCTAATGATTGCATGTTAGTCAGAAAGCGCACATGAATACGATCAGAATAAAGTAGAGGCCTATTATTAGGGCAGGTTCAATCTCTTTTAGGTTGGATTTGTATTTTCATCCCCGAACTTCCAGTCATGGTTCTAGACCTATTGGGGTTGACGATCTCATGGATCGTTAAGGGGTGTAACCTTCACCTCGTGAGCGGTTTACAAGTTCCTAAAACTTGTTGGCGACTTTTTTGCTCTAGTTTCCTTCCCTTTGGACGCCACCGTACTTTAGTGCATGATCACAGTGAGGCTCAAGTTTGGGGTAATGCTTGAAATATTTCCTACACATATTTAACATATGTTAATAGTAGAAAGATAAAAGACGCCGATTTACCTATATTTATCTCACAAAAATTTTAAAATAAAATGATTTAATGAGTAATAATAATTTTATGTATATATTTGTGTTAATCATATATTTTTAACCTTCAAAATAATAATGATATACAAAGTACTACTTGAAAACAACTTTTTTTTTTTAATTCAATGAAAAATAATTTAACTCAATGAGCTAACAATCAATACCCACATAAAATGTTTCTACACATTGTGATTCTAATATCAAATGTTTATACAAGAAATTGTTATTAGTTGTTATTATTATTATTTATTTATTTGAAAGAATTATTATATTTATTAGAAATTATTAATTAATAATATTATTAAATATTAATTCTTAATAGTTTGAATTATTAAATATTATTATTTATAATTGTTATTAATAATTATTATTATGATTAATAAATATTAATTATTAAAATTATTTTTAATATTAATAATTATTATAATTATTCAAAATAATAAATTATTATCATCAATACAATATTAATTATTACTCCGTATGTAAAAATAGAGCAGAGTAACTCTAAAGAACGGGGCCTTACAATTGTAAGAACCTTGGTCGCCCATTTCGATTAGAACATGAGACCGAATATCGAAACCCCTTAAAATTCCCTCACACAGTCACTCAGGTAGTCTTCCCTCAGTCTTCATTTCTTCCAAAGACCAGAAAAACCCTTTTTCATTGCAATGGAAACTGCGAAATCATCATCATCTTCTTCTTCTCTTCTTAACAACAAGAAACCAACGCTAACTCCAAAAGCCAAAATTTACCAGAAATTTGGGAATAAAGCATGCTATAAAATTGAGGAAATTCAAGAAGAATCTTCTCAAAATGGATGCCCTGGTTTGGTTATTCTTCAAAAGGGTCCTTCCCTTTTCCGTTGTTCGTTGGAACTCCCTGAATTCTCTGTTGTTTCAGAACCCTGTAAGAAAAAGAAGGAAGCTGAGCAATCTGCTGCATTAATGGCTTTACAGAAGGTCTTTTCTTTCAGTTGCTTATTTTCATTTTTGATTCTTTCATATAATTGTTGGGTTGTTCTCCACTGTACCCTTTTAACTGAATTTGATTTTGTAATGTACTGTGTAATTTGTTGCTATTGCATGTCTGTTCGTTATGGGAAGATAATTTTTTTGGATTGTTATAGTGTAGATTATAATTTGGATGATATTATGCTTACAATGGTTTCTTGGATTGGTAGCTACTTCTGTGTTTTTATTTTATGATTTGGAAGTTTATAGTGTACTTTTTTCGGCTTATTTGCATTGTTGAGTTACTCGAATTTCGCATATCATGGTTAAGAGGATTATTGATTTGTTAATCTTAATCAAGAAATTGGTGAGACCTCGTGTATGTATACACATGTCAATTGTTGCACATGGGAGAAGACGAGCAATGATAACTGTTGTGATATCATGTAATTCGCAAAATGGATTGGAGGGGAGGCTTAATCTAGAAATGCCATGAAGTTTTGTTGTTGAATATTGATCGTACAATTAAATTTGATTGTCCCTTCACAAAGACACATCGTAACACCTTCCCTTTGTGGTGGTAATGTGTTATGAGGAATCTTAGTCTATTGTCAAGGCATTATCTTATATATTACTTCGTATATATTATACGTAGTACTATTTTTACTTAATAAGAAAATTGAATTGAAGGTAGAGAGATAAAGTGATATTTAGTTTTCTATTAAGAAATGCTTTGATGGATTCGATATCATGTGATTGTAACAATGGGTGTTTTTTGTAAGAATCTGTGTTTCAGTCAGATTTGGTAAGAATTAATAGAGGACATTGGCTTAGATTTTAGGAAAAGCCATGCAGGGTGTAAAATTCTTTTGTATACCCTATAACTTCTAAAGTTGATGTCACCAGCAAGCAAATCCAAACAGTTTTGTAAATTTGGAAGCATAAAAACTTAACCTCCAACTTCATATGAACGAGCAAAAATGTTAAAAATCATGAAAATATCTGTTCGCAAATCCTTTATTACATGAATTACTAATAATGCCACGTACAATGCTGACAACTAGGATTAACTAGGATCACAATGAGTAACATTTCTTTTCGCTGCCTCTTTGTTTTGGGATGTTTCCAAGCTGGAGGTTGTAGGCTGTGTGGTTCACCGCTCAAAATTTATCATAGTATTAAAGAGTTAATGCTACATGTGTGATTAAGGGTAATAAGATTTTAAAAGAATTTTTATCTGTGTATTGTTTGTTGCAAGTGAATGGAGCCAATGTAGGTAAAACTGATGCACTCATTGTGATTGGTGGCCTTTTCTTTAATTGATTAAACCAGTTTTTATTTTATTTTTTAATCATTGTTGTCACATGAAGCGAAGGTCAACATCAATATATCCAATATGTATCTTGCATTTGAGGTCTAAGATGGGGGCTGTCAAAAGCAAGGGATTGCAACATTATTTACCTATAAGGGCTTAGGTAATGTTTGATTTATGATATGTAGATAAGACATGTGAAGTAAATTTTGAGAGGAAAAGAGAAAATGTATTTTAGTTGAGCCTCATCAACATCATCTTGCCTAGATTGCTAGACCACAAAAGGTGCTTAACCCCTAATGCCTCAGGCGGGCCTTTTCAAACATTGTTAGAAGCAACAGTTATCTCCTTTGAAGTGGGAGAATTTAAGTTTGTCATATGTACATTTTCTTCCGTGAAAAATACAAAATGTATATCCAATGAACTGTTATTAGATATCTAGAGAGGACTCTCATCATTATTGTTGTGATAATATTTCTGTTAAATAACTTCTCCCTTTGTTCTTGTTGTTGCAGCTTGGTATTGATTCCCTTGAAAGCTGCCTCACAGAATCAGATGCAGAAGAGGAGTTGGTCTCTCGTCTCTCACATATATTCTCAAGTGAGGTTGTGCTCCCATGAGCCCCATCCCCCTTGCCCTCTTTCTCATAATTGGCATTATGGCAATTCTCATTTTTTAAGTTAATGTACATAATATGCTTTAGGACCACCAGGGTTTCAATTTGATTTCTGTGCTTGCAAAGCTGCATATATATATATACCAAAAATTCGAAGCTATTATGACATATTCTATTAACAACAATTCACCTTGCTCTTTCCAAATATTGTTGAGTTTGTTTATCAGATCTATTGAATCATTACTAGCAACATTGATCGTAAAATCTTGAATTCAGCTATGTCCTTTCTATTCAATTTTGTAGTTTTTAGAATATGCTTGCTCACATTTATGAGAGCATTAATGCACAGGACACAAAAGACAGGTCATCATCAAGTCATTTCGATTTGGAGATTGTATACATTTTTGTCCTTTGGGGAATGATAGTTCTGCTCTTTGTAATTAGTAAATCTAAGTATGGCGTAAACCTATACTACTTTTGCTTTATACCTTCTAACGGGTGTGTTGAACTTTTCTAGTTCTGATCGTTGCTTATTTGTTTGTAGTTTCAGTCATCACATCATCCGCTTAGCAGTCACCTGAAAGCAGTTTATTTCAGAGAGGGTGAACTTAGTGGATCTATTCCTGTATCTGTTTTGATTGGTTGTGATCCCAAGCTTAGTAATCTATGCAGATCCATTGACGCAAGGGTTGAGTCAAATCCTTTCTTATCTATACCTATTGTGATGAGAGCTGCAGTCAAATTATCAGAATTACTTTTTATATCAGAGGAAGATCTTTGGATCAGGAGGAAGTATCCTTTCCCCTCAAATGCTATACCAGTATTAGACAACCAACATTCAGACTTAACAAAAGGATCTTTGACTGAGGCTGTATATATTCCTTTTTCACTTGATAAGGATGTAAGTTCTATCAGTATGAATCTGTCATTGAAAGGCTATTATCTGGATGTTATTGCTGCAGAGCTTGGTATTGTTGATGCTTCAAAGGTCCTTATCTCTAGGTGAGTGATTGTAGATCTATCAGTACTTGTTCTAGCTTGATTTGTTTTTCCTGCAGAAATCTTTGACCCAGTTGGCTATAGAGAGTTTTCTTATATCTGAATCTGAGTGTAAAAAACCTGGAATTGAGTTTATCACATCTTTTTCTTTGCAGGACCATTGGTAAAGCTTCTTCTGAGTCAAGACTGTATTTTTCTGCTTTAGAGACACATAATTTGAATTCAGACTCGGAATTTATTTGTGCAATAGAGCAACCCGATCTTGATAGCTCTTTCAACATCCGTGCTAGTTACTTGCTGGGACAACAGGTATACGGTAATGCAATTTTAGCATCAGTTGGATACACATGGAGAGGGGCAGAGTTGTTTAATGAAGACGTGTCATTGCGTACCTATTTTAGGTTTCTCCCTCTTTTTCTTTCTCAACTTCCTTTTATCTTAAATAATTTATTCTACTTGTTTCACCACACTTGTTCTCCTTCCTAACCGAAATTTGAGAATGGATTATGTCACAAAGTTCAGTCAGTAAAGACTTTATTGAAGTTTACCAACTGTAATATTCAAATGCAATTTTCAAGCAAAGAACTTTATTGCTGAAGTTGGATTTAAGCTTTGTAAATAGGGGATCTTTAATTGTTGCTCCTAGACATCTACTGAATCCTGTTTACTCTTTCTTGTTGGCATTATCTGTTAAAAGATAGGCCACTTTCCCTTTTTGATTGTCACAAATGTGATTAAATTTGTCAAATATGAATCCTGGCAATATCAATTTAGTGGCCTTTAATTACTACTTTATCCTTTCCTTAAATAATGCAATGTGGGGATGGGGCACTGTTTTTAAGAAGAGGAGAGAGAGAGGAATAAAGATAGGAACGCATGTGATGAGGGAAGAGAGAATGAAAACATATGCAAATAGGGAAATGTTGCAATATTTGTGAAACTTCCTAAATGGGTAATTGTTGCAATATTTGTGGAACAGAGAAAATATTAATTACTACTTCTACTGGACTTGCAACTAAATGACTTGATTCCTGAAGTCCACCAACTTTTGATCCTGATAGTTGAAGTTTTTAACCGTATGTATTTATTAATTGTGTCAGCAGAACCTTTTATGATATGCATTGTTATATCCTGCAATAACGTTGATTTAGACCTAAAATGGTTGTTTGTGCACTTTTGGAGACTTACTAATTACCTAGTGAGTCTGTATAGGTGGCTATAATCTTGTTTTCATATTAGTGGCTAGTTAGAGCATCAAAATCAGATGGTGAGGGTTTATTTGTCAATAGGATGCTATAATTGACGTGCAAATTTTAAGTTAGATTGTCATGTATTTTTTCTAGGATGTGTATGTTTCTATTATTCCTTGAAGAATTGGTGAATCGTTTTCATTCTGTGAGGGCTAATTCTTTTAGTATGTCAGCGACTCACCAGCCTGAGCCATACTATTGTAGTTTATCTTGCAAGCTTGTACTGCTGTGAAATACAAAGTAGGAAAATTTGTCAAGAATAAGCCAACCTTTTAGTGATTAGCTCAAAATAAGTCATCCTTTTGATTAACTAAGAATAAATTAACTTTTAAGGGGTATTTTCTCTAAATAGGTAAAATGACCTTTAACCTACCAAACAAGTCACCACCTTCATATTTAAGTTAATTTTATTTCCCTTTTCCATTTAAAAAAAAAATAAAATTCACCACCTTCTTTCATTTTTTTCAATTAATAAAACTTTTTTTTTACAAAAAAGTTCACCCCCACTGTTGACCAGTGCCCAGCCACCGTATGGACCACCTCCCCGTCCCTGGCCCTCTTCTCTTCCCCCTCCTAGAACGTCAGCCGACCTTTCTCCCTAAACACCGATCTTTGTCGGCCAAGAGCAACCCAAACCCACACCGAAAACCACCTCAAAACCACCATACCCACAACCCACCTCGAAACCCAACCCTAACCATATAAATGCTGCCCATCCACCCCCCAGAAAACCAATATATACCCACCCGAAATTTGAAAAATCCACCACTAACTTACCCAGAAATTAAAAAAAAACCCACCACTAACTTACCCAGAAATTTGAAAAAACCCACCAATAACTTACCCAGAATTTCGAAAAAAAAGGTTTAGACGGAAGGAGCAGATCGTGGCGGCACCCGAGGCGGTGGAAGGGGATGAAGAGAGGGATTGGTGGTGAGTGGGGGAATGGTCAACGGTGGCCGACTTGTGTGTTGGGAGCTGTTCAACCATGGAGGGAGGAAATTTTCTTAATAAAATTAAATAAAAAAAATTAATTTAATTTCAATTAAAAAATCTAAATGAACCAATTTAATGACACGTGGCATACTTAACCTAAACAACCGGTTATCCCCAAGACCAACAGGTCATGAGTTATTTTGGGAAGATATCTTGGCCCTGTTTGGTAGTAAGCTTATTGGGGGTATATTAGCTTATTTGACTAACTTTAGCTGATTGACTAGTCAAACAAGCTAACACAAGTGTTTGGTAGTAAGCTTATTCTACTAAATAAGCTCTTTTTAAAAAAGCTCATTTTAGGAGCTTTTTCAATTAGCTTATTCATTAATTATTGTGAAATGACTCTTATAACCTCATTTAATTTAAAATTCTATCTAAACTACCTACCCCACAATTAGCTTATTGGTCATTTCACATACTCAATCACCTTTAAGCTATCAGTTATCAAACACTTTTATATAATCAGTTAATACAATAAGTTAGTCAAATCAGTTAATAAAATCAGCTAGTCAAAATCAGCTAACTCAATCAGCTTCAGCTTTCAGCTTTCTCCCAAACAAGGCCCTTATAAAATTTGACTTATTTTTAGTTAATCAAAAGGTTTAACTTATTTTGAGCTAATTGTATAAAGGTTGACTTATTTTTGACAAATTTTCCTACAAAGTTTATGATTATACTTTTGTCTTGTATTCCTGCATTTTATGTTGTCAGTTCAAAGTCTTCATTTGTATGCCAAGTATATAAATGCGTGTTATTTTTTTATTTGGCCTTAATTATTTCTAAAATGATGTTTGACTTGCTTTACATTTAACAAATGTATGATATTTCTATGGTGAGTTCTTTGACAAAGATAATAAATGACAGGATGCTTATTGGAAGAACGCCTGATGGGCTCTTTAAGATATCTAGAGATGCATTACTTACAGCAGATTTGCCTGGAGTATTCACGGGAAAAAGTAATTGGAGGGGCTCTTTGCCAAAGGATCTACTCTGTTCATTTTGCCGTCATCATAGACTCTCTGAACCTGTTTTTAATGTACTCTGTAACTCCAACAAATCAGACCAAGACTTGCCTGGATCATGCAGACTTCTATCAGATGAAAGGTCAAACTCGGCATATATTTCTAAACTTGGAGGGGTTGTGGCCACAGTTAGTCCAAATCAAATTGAAGCAGAATCCTTTAGTTGTGAAATAAAAGTGGTTTCAAAGAATCACAATTTACTCCTTCAAAGATCTCCAGTAGATACTTTCACGAAACAGGGGGATGCAGTGCAGGATGCGTCTTTGAAAGTCCTAAACTTTTTGAAATTTTACTTCAAGCAACCAAATATGCGTTTAGAGGAGCTTTCTTCACTTGGTGGTAAATATAACATTGACTGCCACTTGACATGCTTCTTGAAGGAGTTTTCTCTCTGTCAACAGATGCATAAGGTTCAACAGCCAAGAAATTTACTAGGAGGCCACAAATCAAACTTTAACCATATAGATCGATTTAATAGTTTGACCAGCATGGAGAATAAACACTTAAGTCTACAAGGAACAGCTTGTGGATCATTACCTTCCAATGGATGTATTGTCTCTATAAGTTATGGTGTATTCCTGGTATCAGAAGGAAAAGAAATCCTAGAAATTCTGGAGAAGAATGATGATTTTGAGTTTGAGATTGGCACAGGAGCAGTAATTTCATGTATTGAAGCGGCTATTCTTCGTATGACAGCTGGACAATCTGTCTGCTTCCTCACGGACATGCCACAAACAGAAATGGTTATGGCTGCATCTGTGGATTGTAAAAAAATTCTATCCTTTTTGTCCTCAAGTGAGTTTATCTTTTTTTTTTTTTCTTTTACACTAGCTTTATTTGAGGATGTATGATTTAATAACGCCTTTCAACACAAATGGTTCAAGCTTCAGAATCATTGTGCATTATAAACAAATAATTGGTTTGTAAACGTTTTCTAGCATACCAGACTTCACACTATGTTTTAATAGAGAAATTTAGAGAATTAGAGGGAAAGTGAAAGATACATTTTTGCATATTTGGATAAGACTTGAGGAAAAGGAAATGAAATGATGGTATATATTTTCCTTGTCCTTTTAAAATAAACCAAAAAATCTCCATTGTTGGAGAAATTTTGAAGGAAAATGGAAGGTCAGTCTTTCCTCTGCGTTGTTCCTTTACTCTTCTATTTTTTCCTTTTATTTCCCTTGATTACTGTTATGCAAACAGTGTTTGTGCTTAAATATGTCTGGTTAGATTTCTATGAAATTTGGTATGTGTAACATTGCCTGTATTTAATTGGATTTTGCTCAGCTTTTTTTAGTAATTATCTATAATTATAATCTTGTTAGGTGCGTTCAATTATTCAGAGTCTCATCATTTTTCCTATGTTTATTTTCCCTCCAGAATCTTGTTGCTTGAAATATCTTATCACTGTATTGCGAGTAACAGAACCATTTGAAGATAGAATGGAGCAGGCTCTGTTCAGCCCTCCGCTGTCAAAGCAGCGTGTAGAATTTGCATTGCAGTGCATTAAAGAATATTCTGCTACTTCTTTGGTACATATTTCTCAATGGTTTCCCCTCTAATTCCATGATATGTAGCTGAATATAATTCAATCAATTTTGCTATCATGGTTTTAATAATATACAGATTATAAAATTTATTATTTTCACAAAACTATTTGACATTGTATGCAATACTAATTTATTTTTAAAAAAATTGACCTCTCGTGGCTGCAGATTGATTTTGGGTGTGGATCAGGAAGTTTATTGGAATCCTTAGTTAATACACCAAGCTCTTTGGAAAAGATTGTTGGTATTGATATTTCTCAAAAGGGTCTCATTCGTGCTGCCAAGGTATGATACTTTAGTGGCTATGTCATGCTAGTTCAGAACCTATTGGGGTCTTTTTAGATGCTGGGAGCATAATAGGTGTCCATGTGATGAGGCTGACCGTTGTTAAGAATAATCTGGAAATACCCTTTAAGTATTCAGGCCTACTTATTTGAATGTAATGGTTAACTTTGATTGCTACTTCATTGCACAATGACTGAACACTCAACTAATTCTGTTTATCCTTTATTATTTTCCATTTAGAATGCTAATGCACTATTATCTATCAGTTCAAGGTACCATTTTTTAATTCAATATTTATCATCCAAATGTAATCACTACTAAATAGTTATATGTACATAACCTTAACAGTGACTACATGGGAGTGTATATATATATATAAACAGATGATAAGGTGCAGGTTCATTTAGTATAAGATTGCTTTATTTTATCTTTTGAATTGTATGCAATTATTCTTAGCGTGACTGTATGGGTGATACATGGCACATTGGTTTTATTTATATTTTCATTTTTATCTTCTGTGTGCTGGTAAGTCGGAAATCAATTAAAGGTGGCATGTGTTTAATGGTGCTTGACGTGCTTCATTGCTACAAGATATGCATGTGCACATTCTGTTTGCCTATTATATACTTCATATGTCTGTTTGCTTATATGTGAGTGGGAGAAATCTGTACTGTGCCATGTTCTACTTCTAGAGGATTCGTATGCAATTACTCTCAGTTTCTCTATGTAATATGATCTATTACAAATTTATTTTTTGAGTGTATATATTTGGTTTCATGATTTGCAGGTCCTTCAAACAAAACTGGAGAATTTGAAGGATGAGATATCCACATCAAATAGTAAAGCAGCAATTCTTTACGAGGGTAGCATAACTGCTTTTGATTCTGGCTTGAGTGAATATGATATTGGAACATGCTTAGAGGTTTGTGATTTGATTTCTTTGATATTCAACTTCCACATTCTGGTGTATTAACTGTTTTTAGGATATTCAACTTCCACATTAGGCAACCCAAAGAAAGGGAGACGCAAGTAGAGACTGTTCTGATTATAGAAAGATTTACACGTAAACACTCAACTCGGTGTGTGATCTTTAAACACCCACTGATACCCATGAAAGTGCTTTCTAATTAATGCTTTAGTTTCGGGTTGGGTGTCATTAGGGTAGAGCCAATTAGGGTTTTGGGTTGATTTAGGGTCAAAATCGGGTCTCAAGTCGGGTTGGGTTTGTTTTGCTAATAGTACAAGCCTAACACAACCAGTATTTCCTTAGTTGTATACTTTAGTCACAAACAGGTACGGGAGTGCAATTTGCTACCCAATATTTTCAAGCTAGTCTAACAGTGTACCAAATACATTCACGTTTGAGTTTGTGGTCCTACAGGATTAGGCAAATCAGGTAAAATGCTGAACTCAACCCTCAGATATAAATCACCTAATTCCACTCTAGGACGTTGTTAGATTATGGGCTCTTTGTAAAAACAAAGGGAAACATTAGTTTATCAGTATTATTAATATTGACCCCATATTAAAATTTGTACGGTAAGAAAAAATAGTCATATAGGGTTTGTTAGATTTGTATTGTAATATACTTTCATAATATTCTTTTTATTATTTTAATCTTATAAATGTGTGTTGGGATGTGTAAAATTATTCATGTTAAAAAATTACATGAGTGAAGGAATAATTTTTCTGTTTAGGGGTTCTTTTATTAGGGTTACAGATCCCAATTTTGTAATTAAAGATTTAATAATTATGCAATTTTTTATTTCCCAATTATTATGAAGCTTATATCTTTTTTAGTGTCATGTCCATTCTGCTAACGTCCATGCATGTTCAATGACTTTGATGCTAGAAGAAAATGTCCATAGGACAGCCCTCAAAAGTTTATGTTGAATGCCATTTTTATCTTCTAATGTTATTAATTAACTTTTTGTATTTTTTAATTTTTATAAAAATAATTTATATCCTATCAGGTGATAGAGCATATGGAAGAAGATCAAGCACACTTATTTGGTGAAATTGCACTCGGACTTTTTCGTCCTAAGGTCCTGATTGTTTCAACCCCAAATTATGAATACAATATCATTCTGCAAAAATCTAATTTAGGAAGCCAAGTGGAGGATCCAGATGATAGTGCACTACAGTCATGTAAATTTCGTAATCATGATCACAAATTTGAGTGGACAAGAGAACAATTTAATCAGTGGGCAGCTGGCTTGGCACTGAAACACAATTACAGTGTCGAGTTTGGTGGAGTGGGTGGAATACAAGGTGTGGAACCAGGGTTTGCTTCTCAAATAGCAGTATTCAGGAGGAACCAACAGGAGCCTATTAAAGATTCTGTAATAAGTATAGATATGGAAAACCGCTATAAGACTCTATGGAAATGGCCTGCTACGAGCTTTGCGTAGTTGGTAATTCAGGGCCTGGTTAGTGAAAATTTTGTTTGGTCAATTGCAAATAGTTTAACAGGTTTAGAACTGCAGAGTTCCTTGGTTTAGAACTGCAGAGTTCCTTGTTTAGAACTCTTTGGTTTAGAACTGCAGAGTTCCTTGTCTTTTTAAAGGTTCCCTGACTCAGCATGATTCAGTGTGTTATTACCACATTTAAGCTGAGGCCTATATATTATATATACGGCACTTATGTACACACTAACACACAATTTACTAATTCAGTTTATCACATGCTTTGAGCAGCAAGCTAGTGAGTCTGCCAAACTTGTCACACAACTTTCTAGATGATTTGAGCTTACATGCTGTTGCTAGCCCCATTAAAATCTAGACTTGTTCAATGGGTCAAAGCCCCATTAAAAGCCCTAACCCAGCTTGTTTATATAAGAATCAATTGGTCTAAAGCTACATCCTTATGCAGTTATCTTAGTAGCAACCAGCCCAATACGCAAGTCCAACATGGCCCATGAAGTTTCACCCCAATAAAAAACAACACACCTCACAAAATTATGCCGTCTTTATTGAACCATCATATGAGCTCTTTCCCTAAATAATGTTGGGAAATTATCTAATTTCCAAATTACAGCTACTCTTGTTTTTAATTCACATCGTACCGTCAACGTCAGCTAAGGAAAACAAAACGTTTTTTATTTTTTTTTTCGAGATCCAGCAACAAACCGCTACTTCAAGTAGCGATGTTATGAGGAAAACCGCTACTTACTCATAACACCGCTACTTCAGTTAGCGGTTTATGAAATTAAAACCTCTACTTCAAATAGCGGTTTATCCTCATAACACTGCTACTTCAAGTAGCGGTTTGTTCTGTAAAGTTTAATTTTTAAAAACAAAATATCTGTAAATAACACTGCTACTTCAAGTAGCGGTTTGTTCTGTAAAGTTTAATTTTTAAAAACAAAATATCTGTAAATAAGTAAACCGCTATTTGAAGTAGCGGCTTTTAGTAGCACACCGCTACTTGAAGTAGCGGTTTTCTAATAAACCGTTTTTAAAAAAATTCCCACTGAACCGGTGATGTGGACGGAACGGTGAGAATTAAAAAAGAGTAGCTGTAATTTGGGAATTAGATAATTTCCCATCATTATTTAGGGAAAGGGCTCCCACCATACTAACATTTTAAAAATAATTAAAAAATTGTCACTTACGAAACTATTTCTACACTCTTTACATCCTCTCTCCTCTTTATGATTTTCTCACTATAAAACTAAAATCACCATGAGTATTCGAGAAGAACTCAAAATTCAACCAAAACTTCCAAAACAAAAAAGTTAAGTTTATATGAAGATTTACTTAGTTTGTTTTAAATTTAATGGTACCTTATTAGATGTGTACCTAGTAATGATGTCTTGTAGACATCTAAAAATGTCTGTAATCCCCCATATTTTTAACTTAATTATAATTTATTTATATATTATTTTTACAAATATTTTTATGTCAGTTTCATTAAATAAAGTTATTTTTTTATGAAAAGATTTAAGTAAACTAATATGTTTTTAACTAATTTACAACAATTTTAACATTTTAGCCCAAAATCCAAATATTACTCCTAATCTAATTAGGAAACACAAAGCCAAATAAAGCCCAAATAAAAACCCTTATCCTTCTTTCCTCTCTCACATAAAAAAAAAAAAACAAGAAGCTTTCACTCTCTTCTTCCCCTTCATTCACGAGCCTCAAACAGAGAAAAAAAAAAGTCGAAGCTTTCTCCTGCTGCCGCCTCTGCTGCCGCCGCACCTGCAGTTCGCTCTCCCCTCTTTTCCTTCCTCTTATTTCTCTTCCTTTATTTCTTAATAATTTTATTAAAGATTCAATTTTTATTTGATTTCAATTATAAAATTATTGTTATTAGGCTTTAATAGTATGTATAAATTACAAAAGATTATAAATTTATGGATTTTGTATGTCTAAATTATTAAATAAAATTTCAGATTATGTATTTTGCATACTTTAGGGTTTAAAACATTGATTTTTCATGTTTTAAGGCTTGATTACGTGTTAAACAAACTATCTAATCATACTATGTTTAAATTAAATTAAAATATAATTATCTTAATCATAAATAAATTTTCAGATTTATTAAAGTTTCAATTTTTATGAACAAGTAGTGTTAATTTCGTGTTTTTATGCTTCTAAACCTACAAAATAATCATTGTGAGTATTTTGTGATTGAAAAAACTTTGAACTTTATATTCTAACTTTAAAAATAATTTTCAGATTTCATACCTTTTATTTTGAAGCCTCTAATTTCATTGAATTGATATATTCTTGGGTTTTTAACACACTAACTTGCTATATAATGACTAATCATAGTAATTATGCTTATGGGGTTATTTTATATATTTAAAACAAAATTCCAGATTTATGTACCCACTTTAAAGCTGCTGTAATTTGATATAAAACACTATATTTTCATAATTCTAACACGTAAACTTAAAGTTGGGATGTTATATTACTAACTTTGATTTTTGGGGACAATCTAAAGACTTTATTTTGGTGATTTAAGAGGTTTTAAAGTAGTTTAGTATTGCTGTAATTTTAATTGCTTTGGTATTGATTTATTCCTAATTGTTTGGTTTAGGAGAGGACTTTGTAGAAGGCGACTTCTAGTTTTAAAGTGGCCAACCGGATTGTTTACACAAGGTACGTACAAGATACGAAACCTTGCTTGTAGGTGCATATTTAAGGACGGATCGAGAACTTAGTATCATGTATAGGATTGACTGGGTTAAATTGTCTGGTTATGAATTTCAAATGATGTGCACTAGTTTATAATGCAAGTATTATTTGTGCTTTAATTATGCAAGGTGCGCTTAAAGGCAAAGGTATGTGATTGGTGTAAAGATCAAATTATTACTCGTTCATGATTATGTAAACAGGATGAGTAAAGGAGAAATTCAAGTCTTGTAAGACGAGGTTAAGGTTTTGGGGTGCCTTATGCACTCAAGGTGTTTATACACCGAGGTAGTAATGGAATAATTAATAAATTTTGTTTGTCACTAATAAATTAAGAATCTAAATTGAGAATTTGCCATGTTTGATTGAATTGCTTTTGGGATGTTTGTATTGATATGTATAAGAGTCATCACTAAGTCTAAACCTGTAAATCACGTAAAGTGCAAGATGGATGAGCAATAAAACTCTAGAATGGTGCACATCTGGAGTAATGACAATCAAGGGTTGGGGTACATGGGGTTTTAGCCGTGTACTTTTATCGAGGCCGTCTGATCTACGAGTGTCTTCTTTCAAATATTATTTTTCTAAAATTAGGAGTTAGGTGAGATCTCATACTAACTACGGTCACGGAGTCGCGCCCGTGGTCGTTGGATGTTTATTGATGTTTCCGAAAGGAGGCATGGGGTTTTTCTTTATTGATGTTCCAAATGGGACATGGGTTGGACAACCTTGTCTATTGCTAAATCCAATGAAATAAATAAACGAGTCAGTTAATATTAATTAGTGAGGTCTTAATAAATTTGATAATCGAGTCGTGAATCGAGTCTGTATTTAATGATGCTTGTGATTGAATATTAGTAGCATGTTAGGTATTTTCTCAATTTGTTTTCGCAGCTTGTATGTACTCAGCTTTGCTGACTGCGTGCTTTTGTGTGTGTCTTTCTTAGGTCATGGCCTTCGCCTTTCAATGACCCTGTGACGATCCAATTTTTAGACTTGTAATATTGGGGAGCAGAATAACCACAGGTTCTTACACATGCAGCATTCATCAGGGTTGTGGGATCTTGAGTAGAGAGTTGGTTGTTTCCATATTATTTATTTTGCAAAGTTTGAATTTATTTGAATTCGATTTTAGTTGACACTAATTCTTTTGGGTTTGAATTTATTGGAACTCTGAATTTAATCACTTACTACTTTTATTGGGTTTTGAATAAGGGCCTTAATGGTTCCAACTTGTAATACATATTTTGATTTAATTCCTTTGTTTTGAGGTTTATTTAAAAATGTTTTGGTTTTCCGCTGCAAATTTCTGAGATAGCCTTAACGTTTGAACACGTGGCAGTAGCACACCAGTAATTCTCTTGAAATTGTTCAGGTTATATACAGGTTTCTCACAGGTTTTTAAGAGAGAATTATTGGGGTGTTACAATGTCTCCTCGAAACCAAACCCGATGATAAACAATTTATTACTGCCATTATTGGCCGGTTCAGTATTTAATTCTGAGAGTGCTTAAAAAGTCATATTTAATTAAATTCAGTTTATAAAATAGTCAACAGATCAGTCTTAATGTTTGGTCAAAGCATAGTTTAATTTTTATTTTTTATTTTGGCCCAAACCTGTTTATTCATTTTTCATTTATTATTATTAGCCCAATTAATAAATAATAAACAAGAAATAGCCCAAAAATATGAATCGACACCTAAAAAGGCTGAACGTAATTAGGGCAAAAATGATTTGGACGGAAAAGGGACACAGAGTCTTCCGCATCACGCCAAACTGTGTCGCATCATGGGACACACTGCCGCGCCACGACATAGTTCCCCGTGACACAGTGCCAGTACCATGACACGGGACAACCCCGTGTCTTTTTTTGCGTAAACCCTTCACGCGTTTTAACCCATGTAGGTCAAATATTTCCCGCGTCACTCCAGAGTATGCCGTGTCACACAAGAGTTTCCCGTGTCACGACAATTTTTGCCGTGTCTTGGCAGTGTTTTTAGGATCCCGTGGGTTCCCTCTACTCATTTTCCCTATAAATACCCCCTCATTTCTGATGTACCGGGTACCAATTAATTCTCTTTTCTCTCTTCTATGCTCTAACCTAAACACTAGCCTACCTTTATTCTTTCAAAAGTCCTTCCTTAAGCACTCCAAGGAGTCCGTACTTTACTCGAGGTTTTGTCCTTAAACCAAGGCGTGAAAGGTAGAACTGTTTGAGGGTTTGACCCCAAATCAATTCTATTCTATTTAATTTATTTAAATTTAATTGTTGTTTTATTAATTTTCCTTGAAGTTACTAACTCGTTTATTGTTTTATAGTTGCAAGCAAACTAAATCAAAGTAAGAATCATGTTCCTTTTATTTCTATTATTTTTCTAACGGTTTTATATTGTTGGATTTATTCTTAAATTGCTTCCAATATTAATGTTAATTCTATTGTTATTATGATCACCATATTGCATTTTTAAAGGGAATATGTAATTGAAATCACGCCTAATAAGATAATTTGGACAACCGGTTTATGTTCCTTTTTAATCTTGTTGTTTAATCAAGTGATCACGATATTTAAGAATTATGTGTTGCATTAA